TCTCACTGCTCCTGCATCTCTCACTGCATCTCTCACTGCATCTCTCACTGCATCTCTCACTGCATCTCTCACTGCTCCTGCATCTCTCACTGCTCCTGCATCTCTCACTGCTCCTGCATCTCTCACTGCATCTCTCACTGCTCCTGCATCTCTCACTGCTCCTGCATCTCTCACTGCATCTCTCACTGCTCCTGCATCTCTCACTGCATCTCTCACTGCATCTCTCACTGCTCCTGCATCTCTCACTGCTCCTGCATCTCTCACTGCATCTCTCACTGCATCTCTCACTGCTCCTGCATCTCTCACTGCTCCTGCATCTCTCACTGCATCTCTCACTGCTCCTGCATCTCTCACTGCTCCTGCATCTCTCACTGCTCCTGCATCTCTCACTGCTCCTGCATCTCTCACTGCATCTCTCACTGCTCCTGCATCTCTCACTGCTCCTGCATCTCTCACTGCTCCTGCATCTCTCACTGCATCTCTCACTGCTCCTGCATCTCTCACTGCTCCTGCATCTCTCACTGCATCTCTCACTGCTCCTGCATCTCTCACTGCATCTCTCACTGCTCCTGCATCTCTCACTGCATCTCTCACTGCATCTCTCACTGCTCCTGCATCTCTCACTGCTCCTGCATCTCTCACTGCATCTCTCACTGCTCCTGCATCTCTCACTGCATCTCTCACTGCTCCTGCATCTCTCACTGCATCTCTCACTGGGCCTGCTCTTCTCCCTGGGCCCCTTGCTCTTACTCTGCCTCGTCCAGACATTACAGTGTTTGTCTTTTTCTGTTTCTGTTTCCAAAAACATCACTCATCGAAGTCCTCCTTTTACTGTATAAGTGTCAATGTAATAGAAAAAAATGACCTTTTCTGGAGTCTAAGCCAGACTGGAATCAGCTGTGGTTGGCCCAATTTACCCAACATAAATAAGCTGTGGGTCAATTATTCAATTGTTTGTTTATTATCAGCTGAGATATATTGTTTTTGAACTGATATCATTGCAGGAGCAGAGGTTTTTATACTGTATCTAAGGTTTGGAATATTGTTTTTGCTATTGTGGGATGGTGTGTGTTAACGTTTGTAAATACTACAAAAACAATCCATAATTTTGTTGGGAAGTATAGCTTGTCTGTTAAGAAAATGTAAGCATTGTGGAAATGTGTTCACTGACTGCATATTGTGTGAAAACGACATGAAATGTGTGAATGGTATGGCCACAAAAGACCGATGCTGTGCTAATTGTGTTTAGAGTTTTGAAAATGTGACTACTGGTTGGACAAACGCTTGTTAGCGACTGAAAAAAACTGTATTATAGCTCTTTTAACAATATGGACTGTTTCAAAGCAGCTTTACAGTGATAATAGGAAATTAAAGTAACAGAGCAAACGACAACCATCCAATCAATTCCTGATGTACAAAATCAAGTCTCATCCTGCATTTTTCTTGTTCGAGAAGCCGTTTCAATCAGATATACGTGACAATTGTGGAAGAAAAGACAACCACAACTTACTTAAATGGGTAACAATACCCTTAAAAAGTTTATATAATCACAGGAATATTTCCTGAAGAAAATGATGCATTATTTTCATGTCCTGATAATGTCACATAAGTATATTATTTTATGAACTCTATGCATGTAAATTCAGCTCTAGAAGTCCCATTGCTGTATTTACACATTGTAAACTGATAACTATTCTTCATACCATGTTTTGAGTAGAGGAACCTAACCAATTGATTGAATATTTATCCTCTCCAAAAACATCAAGCTTCTCCAAGCTGTAAAAATACCACCAAAATGCACAGTCACACACCTTGACGCTTGCCAATTATTTAGCATTAACACTACGGCATTATCCATCCTGACATTATGTGTGTCCCTTACTTATATGTGCATATGCATGCATTAGAGTCATGATGTGCAATTTAGACAATTATTTTAAAACCCATCCTTATGCATGGTAGGAATAATAATGATGAAAGTCATTACTAGAGGCTAATTCCCCTCGGAGTGTCTGAAAGGGGGCTCAGTAGCGCAGACGTCACTGGAGAGATCATCACCTGCCGACTGGACAGTGCTTTAATACCATCTGACAAGATCTGAGCGGGTGATTGATGTCTGTGCTCTGTCTATGTGTGCGCATCTCAGACAACCACAGCACACCTTTAGGATAGAATATCTCATATAATATGGGCTCATTTATCTGAATGCATAAATATAATCCTGGATATATAAATATGAATCCAAATGGAGGTTTTTTTTGTATACAAGATGTGATATATACACATTTTGTAGTTATCACTACAGTAACTATAACATGTAAAACTGTAATCAGCTAAATTGAAACTGGAAACTGTAAAATATAGTGTTACCCATAATTGCACATTGGAATTTTTTTATTTAGATTCATACCACGATATTCTGAATTTAGGATATACACACATCACTATAAATCTAATATATAATTAGATTTAGAACAATATTGGTATAAGGGGTAAAAATCATGATTATATATATAAAATTAGATCATTATAAATACAAATGTATATTTTAATATATCACTGAAAAAAAAAACATCAATACTCGTAGTGCTAAAAATATGAATATATAAATGTAGGCTAAATTCTGAATATGTTGCTATTAATCAATATCTAAATGTAGGTAAATATATCATTATATATTGAGTTGCTCTGCAAAAAAATATAGATTAATCTTAATTAAAGTGAGTGGTTTTCTTTTTGTCTTTTGTTGTTTGATTAACATTAGTGAAACCGAGTGCAGCAGGTTTATTAGGCTTCTGTCACTTTAAGACCAGACGCATGATGCGGATCTGACATGCATCTGATGTTTTCACATTTATTTACTGTCATTTAAGACCTTTTAACTTATTTAAGACTGTGCTCGCAAGGATACTCATCAAAAACGACATTTTGACATAATTTTGTGACTTTCTGTCCATTCAAGTGTGAAAGAGAACTCAATGCGTTACTGGTGCGTGAAGCGGCTTTCTGTGCATGCGTTTTAGGTGAGATAACAGTTCTCTTTGGCGTCTTATGGCTCTTGATTGGTTTAAAAGCACTTGAATGAATGATAGCCAAATGATGCCAGGAAAAAAATGGATGCTGCATTAATTGTGTTAAATATTTTTAACGGGATAAAATGAAAAAAAAAATGATTGCAAAATTAACACGTTAAAATATATATAAAATTGCATAAATCTGCAAAACAGCAACCCCCCTCCCCACTGTACTACTGATGAAGGATGCTATTTAATACAATAATGGTCCCAACAATGTGAGTTGTAAACACTAGCTCCTTTATTCTAATCAACTCAAAGGCTCACAATGTCATTACTGCAAGAATGTTAAACCTCCAGCTGCTTTCTTTGGTTTTGTATTTCAGTTGTATTTAAAATATTTAAGTATGGACTTATGGGTCAGCTGGCATAAATTCCTCTGGAACAATGAGATTCAACCTTTCCCTGAAAGCTAAAAGTAGGTTATATAACATTTTTACACCTCAGCTTCTATTTGCATTTGAATTCTAATGGACGAGAGAGCATACATATAACATTTGTATTGTTTATTGCTTGTGGCATTTGTTTAGATCCCATAACAATATAAAGAAACCACATATTATATAGAAAACACAATATTTGATTTAAATTGGCATTGCTCTTGGACTGTCTTTGGAGTGAGAATGTAGTCTTGATTGCCAATATTAAGCCCCTTTCACACAGCAGACTGATCTCATGAAATGGCGTATGTATGACACTTCAATTCGTATTTCCATTTTTGGCGTGCTATCAACACGCATAATCGCTTTTCAGCGTGTTTATCAACGCCTTTGACTTTACGTTATATTACTGTATTATGTACATATAAATATATGACCTACCCCAACCCCGTCCCTAAACCTACCCGTCACTGGGGTTAATACCATTTATGAGTCTTCTCCTACCATCCTAGGAAAAGAAATATCGCTCCACAGATGTAGAATATAGATTTTGCTTCGTTTCGCTCGGACATTTAACGGCGTACACATACACGCGGAATCACTCGGACGTTTAATGGCGTAGACATACACGCAAAAGATTTCGGCGTGGACATACACGCGGATAGCTCAAAATGCGTATAGATAACACGCCACTTGAATTGAAAGTGGCGTGTATGTTTACGCAAAGTCATGATGTCATGTTGCACACAGAGATTCCGGAAAATACACGGATAAAGCGACCCGGGATTTGACCCGGGTTCGTTTGATTTTGGTTCATTCACACTGCCAGTGATTTTCCGGAATCATCGATGTGACATGTAATGTCTCAGCAGCGTGTATAGTTTGCTTATGAGCTGCGATTTCTCTCTGGAGAAACCACGCTTGTGCATTTATTTCTCTGATTCGATCATAAACTAGTGCATTACGTACCGTTCCACTAGCCTGCTTTCACTTCACTTCAAATCATAAACTAGCGCATTACGTACCGTTCCACTAGCCTGCTTTCACTTCACTTCAGCGTCATCATTACGACACGGCATTGGTTACGGCTTTTGTTCACACAGCGCGCGTTCCGGGACTGATCCCGGCAATGTTACAAGGTCCCCAACACGGCATCGATCCCGGCATCAATCCCGGGTCGTGTTTGCGTTCACACAGAAGGCGTTCTGGCAATTTCCCGGCAATTTCCCGGGATCAACACGCTGTGTGAAAGGGGCTTTAGATTGATACAAAAATCGAAAAATATCTGTTGCAAGGACTTGTAACACTTTATTTCGATTGTCCACTTTAGACATTCTACTAACTATAAGTAGTACCAGTTATTTGACTATGAGTACTCTGTCTGCTTAATATCTGCTAAGACTTTATTTTGATGCTCCCCCTACAGACATTCTACTGACTATAAGCAACTTTGCAACTACATTTTACTAAAACATGTACTACAACAAACTTATTCTACTAACCTGAACCCTAACACCTAACCTTACCATCTACTAATACTCTACTGAGAGTTAGTTGACAATAGTTGTAAAGTTACTAGTAGAATATCTAAAGTGGACTATCGAAATAAAGTATAACCCATGGATTTAACATTGCATCTTAAAGAATGTGCTTTTCCATTCGTATCACATTGATCCTGGCCAGTTTTGAGACCAAATGGTTAGGATGTCTGTAGCTGTGCACGGATGTCACAGTGAAGCCCAGTTTGCGGAAAATGGAAATGGCCGCGGTCTGTGGGGAGCTGATCTCTACGACCACCCGAGAAAGTCCCTGCTCCTTACAGAACTCTACGGCTGTCTCTACCAGCTGGGTTCCCAGACCTTTCCGACGCTGGTGGAAGGACACGATTAACTGAAACACCTCCGCTGTCGCTGCATCGTCTGCGTTCCACCCATCCTTCGAAACGCCACCCTTCTCACCAACTACAGCCAGCAGCCCGGACACTTTCCACTTCCCGTTCACCTCCACCTCCGCCACCCAGAAATGATTCACCTGGTTATCCAAGAACTTGGCCTGAATATCTGCCATTTCCACATCCATCATCTTCACCTTGAGGAAGCTGTCGTAAATTTCGTGGCAGCAATAGTAAACCAAGCAAGCCCAAGCTCCTCCGAAGAGCACGGCCTGGAAGTACGAGCTCCCTCCGAGCACATATCCGGCCACGGAGACGCTGAGGGTCACGCCGATGTGGTCCGGATGACTCATGGCTTTGAAGAAGGATGGGTAGACATGCTCCAGAATGCCAAAGCGGAAGAGAGAGACAATAGCAGACTTATCTGTGGGCTTGTAGGGCCGGATTACACTCTGCACTGCAAGATTCAGAAAGAGACAGGGATTCAACTGGATGCTGACTGAACGTCTGCTGAAAGTCTGGCAGATTTATAGGCAGAACAAAGAAAGTGCAGAAAGAACCCTTGTAATTAAAACCATCCTTAACTAAAGATAAAATAAAATAAAGCAGAATACAACTTAAACTTATTTTATTCAAGCACCAAGGCAATATTTGTCATTTTCATTTAGTTTAAGATGAACTAAATTAACTAAACACTAAAACTTAAAAATAAAATAAAAAATTTCAATAATAAAAATGACAAAATTGCTGAAATTTTAACTAAAATTCAAAATATAAAATAAAATCTAATTCAAAATATTATAATACTATATAAAAATAAATTAAAATATACTAAAATAATACTGATTAAAACGCATAAATCGTACAAAAGAGCATTTGAAGCTTCGAATTTGCGCAGGCAAAACATTTCAAAACCGAAAAAACTAAATCAGATGTGATTCTGTGAATTTTTTTTTTGTAAATTTCATGTGTGTTTTTCTTTAAAACATTGTAAAGGACGAAAGAAAGACAAACAAAATACCCTATCATTTGAGAGAGAAAAAAACTGAATTAATTGGAATAAATGATTTGGAATGTCTGTCATTTGTAAACAATCAGCAAACTTCGTACATTATAATAAAGGAATGTTTCACATTTGGGAAACATGTCGTTTGGTGTGAAGCAACACCTCTGAACTCACAACAAGCAGACTAACAGAACCATCACCCACTCATTAATCTAGGAAATGACATATTGTTCCACAACATTGCAATTTTAAATAATTCACCAAAGCACAAGCTATTCCAGTCCTTGGTAATTGCATTATCGCAAAGACGCACCTGCCACCTTTGAGACACCTCGCACAACACATTCCTACAGAGAAAATGTTTACTTACAGCTAGTCTTCTGTACCATCGCTGCTGCTTGCTGTACTTCTCTCTCAAACGCTCTACACCTCCTTTCTTCCTCACTCACTCTATGAACTTTAGCCACGGTATTGGGACAAATACCCATTATAGGCCAGCTTAGGGGAAGAAATAGTGCATTTTCAGCCCACACACACACACACACACACACACACACACACACACACACACACACACACACACACACACACACACACAATCATAGAGACATGTTTACATGATTTCAAGCTATCCATGATTTTAATAATTGTCTTTATTAACCCAATTCCAAGAAATAGTTGCTAGAAAGAAAGTCACAATTATGAGAAATGAATTCACAAATGAGAAATAAATTTGCTATTGTGAGATATAAAGTCATATTGTGAGATATGTCACAAAAAATGAGAAATATCTGTTACTGTGAGAGTCACAAATATGAGAAATAACTGCAGTTTGGAGATTTAACGTCTTATTGTGAGATATACAGTAAGTTATCAACATGAGAAATAACTTTGCAATTGTGAGAAATTTGTATTGAGATATAAAGTCAAAAATATGAGAAATAACTTTGCATTTGTGAGATAGAAAGTCATATGTGAGATATGAAGTCATTTTATGAGATGTCACAATTACAATAAATAGAGCTGCATTTGTGAGATATAAGCAAACCTTTTAAAGATTTTTTTTAAAAAGGTTTTAATTAAAATATTTAGTATGTTTACTGAGTTCCTTTTTTTTAAGTTGGAATTGTTGACTGGTCCTCACAATTTAGCTGATTTTATGTATTTCTATTCTTATGAGGACATTTGGCCCCCTATAATGTAGGGAAACACACACACACAGAGAGAGAGAGTCAGCGTCTCTATTTAATAAAATCAGATCTAATCTTGGCCTGACTGTGTAATGAGGTCCTCATATGCCTGGCTGGATCAGTGATCTGCATATCTCTATGACTTTGTAGGACTGAACCAGTTTGTCCACTAAATGTGACCTGGGTTTTAATCATGAAAGCCCAGATTAGAGTAACGGTGTCACTTAATATGAGCTGTTAAAGATACATCACTGCCATCTCTAGACGCCAATACACTGGCTGAAATTGCTTTCTCCATGAGAGGCATAGGCCAGGGTGCAATTATACTGTCCTTTTTAAAGCTTAATAGATGTGGCTTCTCAAACAAATTCCTCATAGAGTTAAAATAACAGCAGAGGTTTGGAAATAATGACAGAATATTCACATTTTGGGGGTTGAACTGTCCGTTTAAGCATAAATTATGAAAATCAGCATATAGGTGATTTTCGTGAATGATGTGGCTTCTAGGGCAATGACAATGACTCAGAAAGTATTCGGATGCTTCTAGGGCCTCCGGCTCCGTAGAATTTAAATGAGAAATGCTTTAGTTCGGTCTGAGGTGCCACAGACCCATAAATTACATCTGATTGCTTGTCACTCATTCAGACTGCATGTTACAGAGGACAGATTGCTCTCCGACCCAATGCACTTCATTTAGTAACCAGTGCGCATGTTTTACATTATAGACATTCTCTATGTGACGACTAGCCCCGGTTTTGCTATATAACTACCAAGCTAAAAACTAAAATGTTCTAAGAACATTTTGTTAATGTTTCAATTAGGTTATTAAAATGTTATTTCGGATTGTTCTCTAAATGTTCAAAATGTCCTGTTTTGTAAACGTTTTAAAAGTTTTCTTCTTAGTTATGCGAACGTTAAGGAAACATTACATTTCAATCATTACACATTATGGGAATGATATTTTTGAATGTTCTCTGAAAGTTCTGAAACAAATAGTAACATTTAAAAAATGTTAGATGAATGTCCAACTAAAACATTGCAGAAAAAATTTCCATGAACGATGTATGAGAACATTATTAAAGACCAGATACATTTGAATGTTATTTTAACGTTACTGGAAGAATGTTTGTTCATAACTTTGAGAGACCCTTGCTAGAGCGTTCCCTGCCAGCTGGGTATAAGCTCTTGAGTCAAAATTCAAAAGTTTTTTTGCATTAAAATAAGAATAAAAAACTTGATTAAATGGGAAGTTCCATTGTGACAACTTACCCCATAGATTGTGACAACATGCTCTGTGTGTTAAACCAAAGTTTCTTCTTATTTTTGCAGCCAAGACTTTAAGTTATATATCTATACAGAAATTAACTCCAAATTGAACTTACTCTGAGAAATATTGAGTGTGACAACTAGCCCCGGTCTCCTCTACATTATACAAGACTCCACTACCACAGATTGCAGATCTCACCTCAAGAAAAAAATGATCTTTGATTAACTCATATTAGAAATAAAGATGAAAAACCGCACTCTCTAGTTATATCTCATATATTTATTAATACCATGTCCACACAGACGCGTTTCAGCCTAAGCCATCATCAGTGTGTGATGTTAGAATCATATTAGAAATCCCACATTTTTACAAGCCAAAGATTAATTTTCTCTATCTAGATTCACACGTGTGAAGAGTGATATATCTGCACGGTAAATATTAGCTCAGTGTCCATAGTTTGACATATGCTGTACAGTAGGCCTGCCTGCCCTGCTAAAAGATTTAACGTTACCTTTCACCTACATTTATAAGCGCATAAGATCTCAAAATCTCACTGGAATAAATACAAGCAATTGCTGTTAAGCTCTGATGGCGTTTCACAAACCCATGGCATGTGCTTTCTGAATGTATCCCAATATATTTATGTTCAGAAATCCAATGACATATTTATGAGGACAACCAATTTCAACATCGCAAATGCGCCTTGTTTTTCTTTTTCTTTCTATGGCCCGCAAGAAAGCTGAGGTTATTTACAGAGAGTCTTAAAGCTCACTGCTGCCGTAGCTCCTTATAACCCATGTTTCGCTTCTCTGATTATGATTTACGTGAACCCCCTACACAAGCATCATCTTTTATTCCTGATCGTAACAGTGTCGAGTACTTATATGACCTTGAGGCAGTTCACTCAACGCCTGGATATCCACACATTTATTCTGTTCTTGACACTCGAATCAAGTGGATTTAAAGGAATAGGTCACGTCAAAATAAAATGAAAATTCTCTCTAGTTACTCGCATTGAAAATCCACTTTCTTTCTTTTGCGGAAAACAAAAGGAGTTTTGTTTTTCATTTTCAATGGGGACTGGCATGTTAAACATTAAGTAATTTACTTCTATTCAGCATTATTTACTTCAACTAAGAATAATTCTTTACAACAAGTTCTCTATTTTAGGACAAATGTAGTGAAAAAATAATGAGTACATCTTAGAAGATCAGAGTTTGATGCCTTTGCATTTCAGGACAGTCAACATTTGGTAAACAGCAGGATGCTTTTAATTTTCTCCCAAGATTTCAGTTGGTGCAAAACTCATTAACTGCCCAAAAAATAATTAGCTCTCCAGGAAAGAAAGAAAAGAAAGACCCAGAGGGGGAAAAAATAAGCATTCAAAGTTTTTCTATTGTGTGAATCAGTCTTTTTAAAAGGCTTTATTCAAGTGTCAAGAACAGACGAAAGAAGGGAAGGGAAGATCCACCTGTTTACCGAACATTTGTGAGTGTGACTGTAGAGATCATATGAACGTTTTATAGAGATAGATCACAAAAGTAAATATTTTTAATCATCATTTACTCACCCTCATGTTGTTTCCAAACCTGTATGAAATGTATATAAATGTTTGTAAACTGTACATGTCACTCTTTTTTATTTACTCACAATAATGGGGTCTGGAGCTTAAAAACCATAAAAAAGTGTCGTAAAAGCAGCCATGACTTGTATATATCCCAGCTGACAAAAATATGTTGTAAGAATGCTTTGCTAACATTCTTAGAATTTTCCTAACTTGTTCAAGCTATTATAAAAAGAAATTCCAGAGGGACCACATGGCTTGAAAATTTTCTTCCTGATTTAAGTTATTAGAATCAAGCAACAAGCACTTTGTTTTCCATATTTCTCATAAATAACATGAAGAACAATCAATAAGTCATGCAAACTGTTGCTTTATTTTTTTACCCTTTAGTAAACCATTTCTATCTTGGAAAGTATTTCTCCCAAAAGCATTTGAAGATTTAAACCATGTTAAAAGTGACTGGATTTTACTGCATTAGATACATATATAAAACTTAATGGTATCTGCAAATAAACTATGCCAGACTTTTTCCAATTTCACTTCCATTTAATTTCTCATGGCAGTTTGTGGAATGAATTTTAACCAACGATAGTTTACTAGCAACAGTTGTGGTTCATTACATTATAGAAATATACCGGTATGTAGCATGGGCGTCGCTTGGCCCCCCCCCCAGCAACTAAAATATGCTACTAGTTTTACAAATAAATTATATTTTTAACTCGAAAGTAAATATGCATATAGTGTAGTTATTTTAAAACATTTCGAATTGTTATTATATATATTTTTTTATTAAAAATCCAATCAAACTCACTAACGTTTCCCCCAATATCATGTGCGACTGTGCGTAAGAAGTTGTCATGTGATGTGATGAATCTGCATTTTTGGCGGATGACAGCGTTTTAAAGCAGAGGGTGAGTAATTTCTCTCTCCTTTATTTGCCTAGTTTCAAATATCATGTTCGTAGTGCATTTTCAAGGTTTTATTGCTAAGTTTAGCTCTGCAAAACTGACTCAGCACAGCCCTTGCCTTGCAGAAAAAGCTAAAATGCGATTAAAATGGTGTTGACTGACACCATGACTGCTCAGATGTCATGCTACGCCCATCGTTCAAAACATTTTACTAACGTTCCCATTAGGTTATGAAAACGTTATTTCTGAATGCCCAGTTGTTGTTGTTGCTTTTTTTTTTTTTTTAAATCTTCTTGTGTTTTGTAGGCTATGTGAACATAAAGGGATTCCATTCCAGTTGATCATTTTGCAAACATCATGAGGGAACGTTACTTTTGAATGTTCTCTGAACATCCTGAAACTTTAAAAAAATATTAGATGTCTGTCCAACTAAAACTTCCATGAACGATGTAGAAATAATTTTTTCATGCTAACATTTTGAGAACATTGTTAAAGACCATCGCTAAATGTCTAATTATGTCCTACATTTGAATTTTAATTTACTTTTTGCAAAGGTTAA